ATTTTATTTTTTAAATTATTTATTTATTTATTTATTTTGAGACAGGGTCTCACTAAGTTGTTTAGGGCCTGGCTAAATTGATGAGGCTGACTTCGAACTTGTGATCCTCCTGCATCAGCCTCCCGAACCTCTTGGATTACAGGTGTGTGCGACCGAGCCCAGCCAGGCTCCTGCTCTGTTAAATGGGGATTAGAGGGACTCGGGGTGTGGCTCAGTGATAGGGCACACAGGAGCAAGTGTGAGTACCTGGATTCCATCGCTAGCACATCAAAATAAGTTAAATACAGTTAAAAAAAAAAATGGGGATTTTAGGATGACTTGATGAGATAATGCCTGAAAGAAGAGTGAGCCCAGGGTGTGGAAGGTACTCACTAAATGATAGCAAAGATTTTCTTTAAGGGATTAAGATGCAGCAGTGATCCCGCCCTGCAGGCCCTCGTCTCCCTTCAGGTGAGCCCTAAAGTGTTCTGTGTGCTCTCTCCTTCCTTTCTTGTCCCAAGGCCAGGCCGGCATCACACATTTCCTCCAACTGAGATGTCGCGATATTCACCTGGCTTTCGCTAGCTCTCTGCCCAAATGTCACCTCCTCAGAGAGGCCTTCCTGGACCCTCTGTCCCCTCGCCCTGCCTTATCTTGTCCCTCAGCGTTCTTATTACATGTTTGTTTAGATATTACGTTGTCTGTCTCCTGGAGAAGTGAGGTCGACGGCCGCAGGGACGGGTTGCCATCACAGGCGGGCAGATCAACAGGGGAGTGCGCGCACCGCCCCCTGGTGGCCAGTGGGGAAAACGTCTCCGCCCGCTTGCGAGACCTTCATGTGCCTGTTTACAACTGGAAACTAAAGCTAGAGTAACTCCGCTCTGTGTGTAAACACAAAGCATTTTATTATGATGATTATTATTTGCAGTACTGGGAGTTGGACCCAGGCCCTTGTGTCTCCTGGGGATGGGACTCTGGGTAAGTGCTCTTTAACTGATCTATATATCCAGCCTTATTTATTTGGTACTGGGGACTGACCCCAGGTGCCCTTTACCACTGAGCTATATCTGCAGACCTGTTTGTTTTTATTTTGAGACAGGGTCTTGCTAAGTCAGTGAGGGTCTAAACTGCTGAGGCTGGCCTCGAACTTGTGATCCAATCATCTCAGCCTTCGGAGTTGCTGGGATTACAGGTGTGCACCACCTTGCCTGGTTCAAGGAGTCTTTTTATAAGGATTGGGGTTCATCCTCATAGCCTCTGTAAAGACTCTGTCTCTGGGTTGGGGATATTTGAATAAAGTCCTAAAGGAGGTGAGAACTGAGTGCCCTGTGCAGTGTGAATAACAGGAGCAAAGGCCCTGGGGCCAGAGTGGGTGTGTTCAGGGAGTGAAGAGCTGCATGGTGGGGGGGGACGCTTGAGGCTTTGGGGTTGGACATCAATATAGGAACCTCGGAATGTGACCTCATTTGGAGGAAGGGTCTTGGCAGATGTAATGGAGGCACGGATCTCAAGATGAGATCATGCTGGATTAGGACTGCCTGGAATCAATGTCTGGTGCTTTCATAAAAACAGAAACACAGAGAAGATGACCAGCAAAGGCAGGCAGAGGTAAGGGGCTACATCCCCAAGCCAAGGAATACCAAGAATTGCCAAAAGCCAGAGAGAGGCATGCAAGACTCTCCTTCAGTGCCTCCAGAAGGGACCACCCTGGGGACATCTGAATTTCAGACATCTAGCCTCTAATACTGGAGAGAATAAGTTTAAATCACCAGGCTGTGGTCATTTGTTACAGAAGGTAGTAGTAGAAGTTAGTAGAACCCCTCAGTTGCCTCAATGACACAAGAAAGGAACCTCAATGAGCTTGATTTTCTATCTGTAAAATGGGATTACAGCCATGTGGCACCAGACCCAGTCTATTTTCTGTTTTATTTATTTTTTGGGGGGGTCGTTCTGGGGAATTTACTTAGGAGCACTTCACCCTTGGGGTTCCTCTCCCAACCTGTTTCTAATCTTTTTTTTTTTTTTGGGGGGGGGGATTGAGTAGGGTAGTAGGCCACTGCACCACATCCCCAGCCCTGTTTTCTATTTTCTTTAGAGACAGGGTCTCACTGAGTTGCTTAGCACCTTCTAGTTGTTGAGGCTGGCTTTGAACTCAGTATCCTCCTGTCTCAGCCTCCCAAGCTGCTGGGATTACAGGCATGTGCCACCACACCTGACCTGTTTTTAATTTTGAGACAGGTCTTGCTAAGTTGCTTAGGGCCTTGCTAAATTACTGTGGCTGACCTCGAACTTGCCATTCTCCTGCCTCAGCCTCCTGAGTCACTGGATTACCACCATTCTTTGTCCTTTATATACTTTTGGTCTTCTCCAGATAACTTATAATGCAATGCAAATGCTAAGGAAGTAGTTGCTAATCTGTATTGCCTAGGAAGTAATGAAGAAGTCTGCATGTTCAGTACAAACATAATTTTAGAAAAATGTTTCCTATCTGTGGTTGGTTGTATCCACAGATGTGGAACCTGCAGATACAAAGAGCTGATTGTATTTACATTTTTTTGGGGGGAATACTGGGGATTGAATTCAGGGACACTCGACCCATGATACATGTACCCAGCCCTATTTTGTATTTTATTTAGAGACAGGGTCTCACTGAGTTGCTTAGTGCTTTGCCTTTTTCCCCCCCTTTTGCTGAGGCTGGCTTTGAACTGGAGATCCTACTTCCTCAGCCTCTGAGCTGCTGGGATTATAGGCGTGTGCCACGACACATGGCTCTTGTATTTACTTTTTATTTCATAAAAAGGGAAGGAAACTAATAATAAAGATACACTCATTCGTTCATCATTTTCTTTCTAATTTTTTTGTGATGCTGGGATGGAACCCAGAACCTCTCAGGTGCCAGGGAAGTGCTTTGCCGCTGAGCCACACCCCCAGCTAGTTTCCAGATTTTTCGAACGAGTGATTTCACAGAAGAAATATGAGAAGTTGACATTTGACTAAAGAGCTGAAGCAAGTGATGTAGTGAGCTTGGCAGGTATTTGGGCAATTATAAGAGGATTAAAGTGCATGTGTACAGAAGGTTTCCGAAGCTTGTTAACAGTAGCCATATAAAGGGCAAGGGATTACCATATATCCACTTTCCGTGATTCAAATCACAAAATAAAATGACTGGCACCTCAGGGAATCTGGTCTGCATACCTGTAACTGTCATCAACTCCTACGAAGGCATACCTCAGCACTTACCACCATTCGTCTTAAGCCGCTTATTATGTCTAAATTTTGGTTTATGCAAGTAATTCCTTAAGTCTAGTCAATTCCAGATGGGGCTTCTTTGACTGTCTTCCTGTCTTTGGAATGCACCAACCTCACCCAACACAGAGAGCGACTTCGCGCAGGCTATGTCCTCTGCCTGGGCAGCCAGCCTCTTTCTCCCTCAGACCTGTCCTCCTGACTTCTTCTAAGACATCGATCCTTGCTGTGAAATTCACATTTACCCATGAGGGCCTTGTTCCTCATCTGGACTTCCCGTCCACATTTCCCCTAGCAGAGTCTAGCACTCATTGCTGATTTAGAGAATGAATGAGTGATTATAATGGATACACTTTTTTTTTTTTGGTACTAGGGATTGAACCCAGGGGCGCTTTATCCCCAGACCTCTTTATTTTGAGACAGGGTCTCGATAGATAAATTGCTGAAGCTGGCCTTGAACGTTTAATAACTCAGTCTCCCGCTTCGCTGGGATGACAGACACGGGCCACCACGCCGGGACACCGGTTACACTAACTCCAGGGTTTCTTCCGCGGGGGTGGGGTGGGCCAAACCCGGTTAGCCTTCGAGGAGTCCTAGGCTAGTGTCAGGCACCTGCTTATTGCAATCCGGAACCAGAGGGCGCGGGAGGAAACATCGTGAGCAGGAGAGGCCGGAGAACGCGGCTGGCATCTCCTTCTCTCTAACGAGCTAATCCATGCAGAAGGAACTAGCTTCCCAAACACCCCTGGGACCACAGCCACTGGCTCCCACCTCCACCCGCGGGGGCGCGGCCTCTTTAAGGCTCCCGGAAACGGGCTGATAGTACCGGAAGTGACCCTCTTTATTTCCCCTCTTCACGTGGTGGGTGCGGGAAGTGACGAGCGCGGCCCGGGAGCTGCGGACGCGGAGGCCGACCGAGCCGGAGTCGCGGACGCCGCGGGGTCTCCGGGACAGGTGACCGGGGGAGGGGGCCGGGAGCGCGCCCGGAGAGGGCGGGGCTTGGAGCCCCACGTGAGGGGAGTCGGAGCACGCGCGGGCGGGGTAGCGAGCACTCGGCGGGGGCGGGGTCAGAGTACTCTGCGGGGGGCGGGGACAGGACGCCCACATGGGGAGTCCGAGGGGCGCTGGCGGGGCGGGACGTTAGTGTGTGGGCAGGGCCGGGGCGGGCCGGGCTGCGGGCGGACCTGCAGCTAGGGTGGGCAGCTGGCTGCGAACCCGAAGAGTTGTGCCGGGCTGGGGGCGGAGCCAAGTGTTGCCCGGAGAGCTGAGGGGCGGGACCGGGACGCGGGTCGAAAGTCCTGTGGGCGGGGCCAGGAAGTTTTCCCTGATTTGGAGTGGGTCCGGAACGTTGGCCGGGAAGTCAGGGGCGGTCCCAGAGGCTGACGACAGGTCCAGGGCGGGGTTCTAAGGTGGAGGGTGCCCGGGGGGCGGGGCCGGAGGGCGAGCGGAGAATGCTTGGGGTAGGAACCAGAAAGTTTTGCCTGAGCCAGGGGCGCGGCCAGAGCACTGGCCGGGGAAGCCCTGAGCGGAGCCCGAACCTTGGTTGGGGAAGCCGGGGGCGGGGCCAAGCCTGACGCGCGCGGCGGGGGCGGGAGTCAGGGGCGGGGCCAGAAGGCTGACCGGGCAGGACGGAGGCGGGGCCATAGCGTTGGCTGGGGAAACTGGGGGCAGAGCCGGGAAAATAACGCGAGAGGCAGGGGCGGGTTCAGGCTGTTGCCAGAGGAGGTAGGGGGCGGGGCCGGGGAGTCGGCTGGGAAGTCGGAAGCAGGGCCAGATTAAGGGCGCGAGAATGTGGGCCGGGCCAGAAGTCTGGCGGGAAAGGCGGGGCCGGAAAGTTTTGCCCTGCCCCGGGGCTGGGCCAGAGGGCAGTCAGGGGCGGGGCCGTGGCTGTTCGCATCCTGGTGGAGGCCGGAACTTTTCCCTGGGAAGCCGCGAGTGGGCGTGGGAAGTTCTGTCCTGGCTGGAGCGAGCATGCACCGGAGAGGTGAAGCCCAATCCGGAAGCCTCCCCAGTGGGCACCGGAACCCGTTATCAGAATAGTTTCTGGTTAGATAATGAGTCGACCGTCTTACGTTTTTTCAGGATGCTGGGAGCGGGCCTAGGGCTTTCCTTGGGAGGTATGGGATTATGTTCTCTGAAGAGTTGGAACTGCTTGCGGTTAGGGCATGTTTTTGAAACTTACCTGCGAAGCTAGAATGTACACTGGGATGTGAGTGGCACCAGAATGAACACAGGAAAGTGGCCCTAGAACTTTCTTGTGCAGGTTGGAGAAGGGATGTAGCTAAAACTCAAACTTTTGAGTTTTGTCTGGGCTAAAACTCCCACTACAGGTTGTGGAGGTTGAGCTAGAATCTTCAGTTTGGAAGGAAGCTAGAGGGCTAAGCCAGAACTTCCCAAGGAGGGTCTGATTAAAAAGTTTTCATGAAAAATCCGTAGGTCTAAAACCGAAGGGGCGTGGTCTTTATTTTTTCCAAGTAAGGGGTGCAGCTAAGACTTGAGCAAAATGGAAATGAAGTCCGTAATTCTCTTGGGGTATGGGTATTATTTTGTGTGCATGTCTGTGTGAGGAGCCCCCTATATGGGAGAGAATAAAGTAGATTGGGAGTGCCTTTCGTCTTAGTCATGCTGTTTCCTCTGTGCTCAGGAACCCCTAGTGTTGCTTCCAGATTCTGTGGTGGTTGCTGGGATCCTAGCCACAGCTGGTGAAATGGTGAGACCAGAAGTGGGTATCCGGAGTCTGAGCTTTGGGGAAGGGGCTTGGGAGAATGGGATCCAGGGGTCAGACCTGCAGACCCCAGACTGAATTTTCAGGCCCTGGGATACCTAGAGGGTTTCCTTTCCACCCATCAACTGCCTTCCTGTTTCAGGCAGCCACCCTGGATCTGAAATCAAAGGAGGAGAAGGATGCTGAGCTGGACAAGAGGATTGAGGCTCTTCGGAGGAAGAATGAGGCCCTCATCCGGCGCTACCAGGTGCCCTAGCCCTGCCCTGGGAGACCCCATCCCCTCTCCTCCCCCGCAGTGAGTTTTTCTCACCTCTCCCTTCTTTGAAACCTTTTCATGGCTTCCCATCACTCTTCAGGATGAAAGCCAAAGGCCTTAGTCAGGCATTCCTTCCTTCATTTCTGTCATTCATTCATTCATTTGCAAATACTCACCCAGGTCTTTACAGCTCCAACTCTTTTGTTGAGTGGTGCTGGGGCTGACGCCAAGACAGCTTCAGGTCTGTCCTTTCAGGGCTCAGAGTTCAGTCAGGGAGAAAGCCCTGTCCCCAGTTGGTGATGATACAGGCCGGGCAAGGTGATGAGGGAATTCAGAGGTTTGTAGGACTCTAGGGAGGGCTCCTGATTCAGCCTGGGGGACATTAGGGAGGGTTTCCTGGAAGAGGGGGCTGCAGAGGCCTGAAGAGTTATAAGACATTAGCCAGTTGAAAAGGAGAAGGGCATGTGTTTCAGGCAGAGGGAACAGTTTGGGCAAATATTTGGACTTGAGAGAGCTTGGAGCTTAAAGCTGCATGGTCAGTTAGGGAGTATTGATCTAGAGAGGTCAACAGGAGCCAGGTCATGTAAGGCCCTAAATGCCACCAAGCTGAGAGTTTGAACTTTCTCTTGAGGGCACTGGGGGACCATAGAGAGCTTTGAGCAGGAGTGGGACTCTGGCTTTTTAGAGAAGCTTCTCTGGCTGCTGTGAGTCAGTGGAGGGGCAGAGGTGAGAGAAGCCAGAGATTGAGAAGGAAGTTGGGGCAGGAGCTCTAGTGGGAAAAGAGGTGCCTGGCCCAGAACTGTGGTTGAGGGACTCTGTGACTGAGGACAGTAGAAGGTTGGGGGAGAAAGGGAGGATCCAGAACAAGGCCCAAAAGTAGGCAGTGAGGTTTTCCTGGATGTGGGACCTGGGAGGAGCAGTGGACCTCATTTATTCATTCTTCATGTGTCCATTTGTTAAAAAATACTAAGTTTTGGCATGTGTCAGGCAGTGTTCTAGACTTGGGATATGCATCTGTGAACAGATATCCTGTTCCCTGGTGAACAGGGGATGAGAAGAGGAAGAATGGTGGGGAACTGATTTCTGCAGGGGTTCCGGGGCTGCCTTTCTGAGAGGAGGCATTTGAATAGAGACTGAGGAGTTGGGGGAGTGAGGGACTCTGGGAAAGCTGGCAGGGGGGCCAGCTGGTGCAAAGGCTGTGAGGCAGATCTTGACCTCGTATGTTCTAGAAACAGAATGGTAGGGCAAAAGGGGATGGAGAGAGACAAGGCCAAGCATGGGAGGGGATACTGGGACCCACAGACTGAGGAAGCCTCTGTTCCTTGCTCAGAGGCGGGCATCATGAGAGGTCCTAGAGGGGAACACGACGGGGTCTGAGAGATGATGTTGAAAGGGACCAGCTTTCTTGTTTAGAGCTTCGGAGGGAGGGCTGGGACTAAGATGCAGAGGAATTCAAGAGGCTATGGGAGTCCAGCAGGTGGACAGGGCCCCTGACATTTCTTCTGCCCTACATGTTTGTGCCCAGGAGATTGAGGAGGACCGTAAAAAAGCTGAACTCGAGGGTGTAGCAGTGACAGCCCCTCGGAAGGGCCGCTCAGTGGAGAAGGAGAATGTGGCGGTTGAGGTGGTGAGCTTGTCACCAGTGTGGAGGACTCCTGAGGATGGCGGGGAGAGGGTTGGGGCCTGGGATGAGAAACTCCCCAGCTGCTCCAGACCCACGGGTGGCTTGTACCTATTGTCCCTTCTGGGCCTGGTGTGTCCCAGTTTCCCTGTCCAGTGACTGTACTTTCCCCTCCTCCCTCTTCCAGGAGAAGAGCATGGGTCCCTCACGGAGGTCTCCTGGGACCCCTCGGCCCCCAGGGGTCAGCAGGGGCGGGCGGCCCCCTCCCCAGCAGGGAGGCCGGGCAGGCTTGGGCCGGGCATCCCGCAACTGGGAGGACAGTCCTGGGGAGCTGCCTCGAGGAGGAGCTGGGGGCCGGGGCCGAAGGGGCCGGGGCCGGGGGTCTCCTCATCTCTCCGGAGCCGGAGACACCTCAACCTCGGACCGCAAATCCAAGGTAGGAACCAGGCAGGTGGGAAGCTTTTGCCGTCCTCATTCTGTTTTCTTTGTCGTCTTGTTTCTTTCCATTCCTTCTCTCAGGGCTATTTCCCGTTCTCCATGTTCCACCCTCAGCCCCTGCACCTGGGCGCTCTGCAGGGCGTCGTCCACCTCTCCCTGCCTCCCCTCGCCCTCACGCTGCTTGTTTCTCCCCATCTCTTTTTCCTCTTTCTGGCGCTGTCTGGTGGCTGCTCTTGTCTGGTGGCTGATGTGCCCAGGCTGTTCTGGGTTTTCTGTGTCTGTTCCAGTGGTGGGATGCGAGCATGGGGCTGGTTTTCCTGGCACGCTGGTGGGCTGGTGGGACGTGTCTAGCTTAACGGCTCACAGCTTGCCTGGACTTGGGTACAACCTGGTTCTGTTAGTTACTTGTCCTTGGCCGCTTACTTCCTTCTGTGAACTTGATTCTCTCTCATGTAGGAATCGTGTTTAGATTTAAAGGTTACTATAAGTTGCTGGGTGCACTGGTACATACCTGTAATCCCAGTGGCTTGGAGGCTGAGGTCAGAGGATCACATGTTCAGAGTCAGCCTAAGCAACCTATTGAGCTGTCCTAAGCACTTTTTTTCATATCCTGTTAGTACTTACACACTTAGCCACATGTCGCTACAAAGACCGGGAAATGAAAAGGTCATCTCCAGCTGTTTTGTTCTTACCTAAAATTTTGGTACTGTGGAAGAACAGAATGGGCTGGGAGGTTACTAGTTACTATTATCATGACCATCATTATTACTGTGGCAGTTAGGGTGTGGGGATCTCCAGCACTCTGACACCAAACTGCCAGTTTCAGTGATTTGCTGGAAAGACTCACAAGGCTCAGAGTATAATTGGACTCAAGCTCAGATTTATTGCTGTTTTTTTTTTTTTGGGGGGGGCTACTGGGGATTGAACTCAGGGGCACTCAACTACACCACTGAGCACATCCCCAGCCCTATTTTGTATTTTATTTAGAGACAGAGTCTTACCTGCGTGCCATTCACCGAGTGCCTTGCTTTTTGCTGAGGCTGGCTTTGAACTCTCGATCCTCCTGCTTCCGTCTTCAGAGCCACTGGGGTTACAGGCGTGCACCTCTGCACCTGGCTATTGCTGTTTTGACACAAAGCAAAAGCCAGGGGAGGAGGTGCATGGGTGAGGTCTGGAGGCAGCCATGTTCCCTGTGGAGTTAGGGTGCGTTGAATTGTGACGACGTCTGTCTACCAAGGATGCTCAGGAGACACTCAGTGCCCTGGCCTCTTGGAGGCTGGGGCTCCCTGCACACTGTATCTTCCAGAATCCCAGACTCACAGGAGATGGGGCAGGGGCTGCAGCATCTCCCATACTGTTGGCAGAGTCCAGACCCATCGAGCCACCCTCACTGGTTACAGTTGACTGGGAACACACCTAGAATGATTCCCAGATGCCAGCCAGGTGCTATGCCACCTGCCTCTGTCAGGAGAGCGGGCCAGGTGCTGTGCCACACTTTTCTGTACAGCTTTAGCAGTTCTTCCTGATGCTGGGTGTCTTGACCCCGTATCCCCAGGAGTGGGAGGAGCGGCGGAGACAGAACATTGAGAAGATGAACGAGGAGATGGAGAAGATTGCCGAGTACGAGCGCAACCAGCGGGTCAGTACCGCAGGCTCCCAGGCGAGCACTGCTGCCTGATTCCTGGGAGCCAGCCAACCCTGCCTCTGCCCGTAGGAAGGGGTGCTGGAGCCCAACCCAGTGCGGAACTTCCTGGATGACCCCCGGCGACGCAGCGGGCCCCTGGAGGAGCCAGAGCGGGACCGCCGGGAGGGTAGCCGTCGACATGGGCGCAACTGGGGCGGCCCTGACTTTGAGAGGGTGCGCTGTGGCTTGGAGCACGAGCGGCAGGTGAGTGCTGGTAGCTGGGTCCTTGCACTGCTCTCTGGGCTGAGTACAGATGTGCACCAGGCATGTTGGGGACCAGGATAGGTCAAGACTCTCTTTTTGGGCTGGGATCATTGTTTACGTTTTTAAGGATTTGTGTCATGCTTTCTTTTTTTTCGGTACTGGGCATTGAACCCAGGGACACTCAACCACTGAGCCACATCCCCAGCCCTTTTCTGTATTTTATTTAGAGACAGGGTCTTGCTGAGTTGCTTAGGGCGTTGCTAAATTGGTGAGGCTGTCCTGGAACTTGAGATCCTCCTGCCTTAGCCTCCTGAGGGGCTGGGATTATAGGCGTGCACCACTGTGCCGGTTCTCAAGGCAAGCACTCTACCAACTGAGCTATATCCCCACCTACCCCCAGCTCTCTTTTTTTATTTGTTTATTATTACTTTTTAAAAATATTTTTATTAGTAGTTGATGGATCTTTATTTTATTTACTTATGTATTTATATGTGGTGCTGAGAATTGAACCCAGTGCCTCACACATGCTAGGCAAGCACTCTCCCACTGAGCCCCAGCCCCAGCCCTTTTATTTCTTATTTTGAAACAGGATCTTACTAAGTTGCTGAGGGGCTTGCTAATTTGTTGAGGCTGGTCTTGAACTTGTGCCTCTGCTGCCTCAGCCTCCCCAGCTGTTGGGATTACAGGCCTGCACCACTGTACCCAGCATGTTTTTCTTGTTAGGGCCAGTTTCCCCTTATTCTTTTTTTTTTTTTTTGCGGGGGGGTTGGGTGGTGGTGGTGGTTACCAAGGATTGAACTCAGGGGCACTTGAGCAGTGAGCCCCATCTCCAGTCCTATTTGTATTTTATTTAGAGACGGTCTCACTGAGTTGCTTAGTGCCTCACTTTTGCTGAAGCTGGCTTTGAACTCACCATCCTCCTGCCTCAGCCTTCTGAGCGGCTGGATCCCCTTATTCTTGATGATGTGGCATTTATAAGGCTCTATCGACACATCGTGCTAGGTGAAGGGTGAAGGGTGGGGATGTGACCAGAGAGGGGAGAGTCAATTCCTTGGACTTAACACGTCGACAGTATTGGTGGCTTTGCCAGTCCCACACGGCTCAGCTTATAGAGTTAGGTTATAGGGTTCATGTGTGTTTTGGGGTTTACTCTGATTCCGACATCAGTGTTGTTTATTGGGCACCTACTGGGTAGAAGCACTGCTCTATTTCATTTGTCTTCAAGGTGCTGAGGATGAATCTGGGGCCTCACACCAGCTAGGCAGGTGCTGTATGACTGAGCCTCTCTCCTAGCCCCCAGGCACCGCTTTAGATGCTGGGATGAGTTTTAATGCAAACATAGGCCCTGATAAGTTGACAGCAATGGGAACCAGCCAGATGGAAATTTGGTTAGAGGCCAGGCGGCAACAAATGTTGCCACCAGAGGAGCCCAGCAAGGTGACGATGGGGGATGCTGTTTAAAGAAGAGATGGGAGAGCCTCTTTGAGTCTACCTGAGCTGTTGTACTGCTGCTTTGTCACCTTGAACCAGTGACCCCACCTCTGAGTTCAGTGGGGAGGGAAAGGGAGAGGAATAGACCCTGACTGCTTGTGGCTGGGGCAGGGCCGCCGGGCTGGCCCAGGCTGTGCTGGCGACATGACACTGTCCATGACGGGCCGGGAGCGGTCAGAGTACCTGCGCTGGAAACAGGAGAGGGAGAAGATTGACCAGGAGCGACTACAGCGACACCGCAAGCCCACGGGCCAGTGGCGGCGGGAGTGGGATGCTGAGAAGACTGATGGCATGTGAGTCTGCGCCCTGTTTGCCTGCCCTGGGCTGTTGCCCCTCCTTGCCCTGACCTCTGCCTCCGTTGCTTCTCTGTTTCCTCACCTGGGCTGTTAGTGATGAATGCTGTAGTTTGTCAGGTCTCCATGGCACACGAGAGCCTTCACAGGCCACCCTGCTCAACTGGTCCAGGCTGGATGTGAGCCTGTGGGTGCCCTGGGGCTCAGCTCCAGATCAGGTGTAGCTCAGGTGTGCCGAGACAAAATCCTTTTTTTTTCTTTAAGTGAGAGCCAGCATTAAAGGTGTGGTTGCACAAACCTGTAATTTCCATTATTCGGGAAGCTCAGGCAGGAGGAGCCTGAGTTGGAGGCCAGCCTGGGCCACCTAGTGAGACCCTGTCTCAAAAAATAAAAAGGGCTGGGAACATAGGTTAGTGGTAGAGTGCTTGTCTAGGACACACGAGCCATGGGTTCCATCCTCAGAACTCCCCCCCCCCAAAAAAAAAAAAAAAAAGAAGATATAAATCTATGGAAACTTCTGGTGTAGTCCAGTAGAGCAAAGCACAGAGCATGGGATAAAACCGGAGGTTGCTGATCTTTAAAGAATACCATTCCTCACCTCTTCAAGAACTTTCTGCTTGGCTCTGGAAGTTGGTCCTCATGACAGTGACATAGTGATGCTCTGGCTTTAAGTTTGAACACACTCCGTATGTGTTCATTCTGGGGTTGGGCAGAGGGCAGCAGCTGCCTGGGGAGACAGATGTCCTGGTGTTGGCGGACAGACAGGTGACAGAGACCCTTCCTCATTGTTAGCCGGCAGGGAAGCAAGCTCTGCCCCTCCAGTGGGTGTTGCGCAATGGCTTTGTGGCTTAGGGTGTGGATGTAAATTTTATTTTTGAGGTGCTGTGGCCTGGAGCATGTTAGGCAAGCACCTTAAACTGAGCTACCTCCTGACCCTAGGGATGTAGATTCTAAGGTCACCTGGGCATGAAAGACCTTTCTGGTCGCCCCTCTGTCCTCTCATCTTGCAGCTTCCCTCTGTCCCATTGACCTGTCCCCAAGTAGCACACATCCTTGCATCAGGCCTGACTCTGTCCTCCTCTGGGCTCAGAAAACATCCACCTTAAAGTGTCATTGTCATTGTCATGAGGACCAACTTCCATAGCCAGGCAGAACGTTCTGGAAAAGCCCACGAATGGCAGTCTGATGCTATGTCCTTTGCTGCATTGGAAGTTTTCATTTACCTATAATGTTGTTTTGTTGGCTTTGGTTAAAGAAAAAAGAGGACTTTGTCTTTTTGCTTAGTGGTTAGGAACATTATTATTATTAATTTTATTGGATCATGAGTCAAGCTTTTGCAAGTGTGAGAATTATTTAGGTGTTTTAGCTTATCCTTCTAAGGGATAGGTAACTGGGCTTTTAGGGAGACATTCTCAGGTTTAAGAAAGGAAAAATAATTATTTTTGTGTGTGTCCCCAAAGCAGTCTACAACAGGTGTAATGAACACACTTGCAGTGATTTTATCAGATGCTTATCAAGGCCCCCCTGTGTGACATGAAAGGTTCTAGGTGACAGGGATCTAGAATGAATAAAATGTTTCTGCCACTAGACTTGGAGTCCTGTGGGCAAGATGGGAGGGGGGTAAATCTGATTTCGGGTCATAAAGAATAATGAAGCAGAGGAAGGAGAACATGAACGGGAGTTTTTATTTTAGTTTTAGATAACACGTAATAACACGTTCCTGTAGGTGGGGTTCAGGAAAATCTCTGTCTCTAGAGCTAAGGCCTGAAGGAGGCCAGAGAGTGAGCAACAGGTATAAAGGCCTGAGGCAGGAGCCAGGAGTGCTTGGAGAACCTGCTTCGTTGGCCAGGTGAGAAAGAGAGAGTGTGACAGGAAGTGAGGTTCAGACAGGTAGCTGGCGATCATTATTTTGTAGGGGTCTGTTGAGACCCATTGGTATTTTTATCTGGGGGGCCAAATTCTCAATTTTTTTTCTTTCTGTGGTTATCAGTAGGATGTCAGGTTGCCTCATGCATCATCTGATCCTGTCCTCTTCCTAGTGACCCTTTCTGGTTGCCCCTCTGTCTTCTCATCTGGTTTCTGTCCCTGGCCTCCAGCACTCCCCCTGCTTCCTCATTCCTGTGCCCTCTGCTCATCCCTGCTCTCTTTCCCAGGTTCAAGGATGGCCCAACCCCTGCCCATGAACTGTCCCACCGCTATGGTGAGTGGTGTTCTTGGACCGGCCAAGACAGTGGCTGGACTGGGGTTGGGTGGGAAGTAGTTTGCGCTGTCCCCCTTCCCCTGACCTCTTCAGGTTCTATTTCTGTTGCAGATGAACAGGCCTGGGCCCGGCCTCCCAAACCCCCCACTTTTGGGGAGTTCCTGTCACAGCGTAAAGCTGAGGTCAGCAGCCGCAGAAGGAGAAAGAGCAGCCGACCCCAGGCCAAGGCAGTGCCCCGAGCCTACAGGTGGGGACACCCCTTCCCGCAGCATGTGCACATCTCTGGGAGGTCGTTTTTTTCCTTGGACTTGGGTGGGGCTGTGTGTCTTGGCCTCATCTGTCTCTAAGGTGCTTGGTTTGGCGTCTGGGGTCTGGATCTTGGCTTCATCATTCATCTGTCCTCTCCTCGCTTTGCATTCATCTCTGCTGCCACCTGGTTCCCCTTCATTTCTCCTGTTCCCTGATGGTTGGGGACACACATCCACCATTCCCTTCTCAGTGCTCTCTGGACAGCTCTGCTCTGGGGAGGAGTGGGCAGTTGGAAGTCCCTTCCTCTTGTCACTTGAGGCCTCACCCCTTTCCTTCTAGTGACCATGATGACCGCTGGGAGACAAAAGAGGAGACAGTGTCCCCAGCCCCTGAGGCCCCACAGCCCCCGTCCCAGGAGGAGACACCCATGCAGGTAAGGCAGGGCACGGGGTGTGGGGCTCGGGGCCACGTCCTTTCCCTGACCTACTGTGTTCCCTGCAGCCTCCGGAGCCACCTGCTCCTGCCCACCGGCCTCCTGAGGATGAGGGGGAGGACGAGGAAGATGAAGAATGGGAGGATGTGAGTGAGGATGTGACTGAGGACGAGGAGGAGGAGGAGGAGGAGGAAATTGAGGACGAGGGCACTGAGGAGCAGGAGGAAGAGCCAGCCCATGAGCACCAACCCCAAGAGGCCGAGCCCTCCCGTGGTGCCCCCAGCGAGCAGGCCGAGCAGGCGGAGGAGGCAGCGCCTTCCAGGGCTGAGGATACACTTCCCCAGGCGCCTGCCACGCCCTCCAGCCCCTTCTCACCACCTGGTGGCCACCAGCCTGTGTCAGATTGGGGTGAGGAGATGGAGCAGAATTCTCCCCGGACCACCCACCCGGCTGGTGCCCTCTCTCCGGGTGAGGCCTGGCCTTTTGGGAATGCATGAAGCCGGCTGCCTGTGTGTGCGCACAGGGGTGTGATGGGCCTGGGGACCCCATGCCCACGGTGCTGGCTGCTGGGGAGGGCAGTCCGTGTCCCCTCTGTGCTGTCATGCCCCTGTCTCTAGAGTACCCACTCCCAGACTTCCCCAGGTCCTCCAGAGCCCCTCCTTAATAAAGAACTCACATCCTCAAATGACATTCCCCTAAGTGTGTCCTTAAGGCCCCTCTAACTCCCCTTGGGCCTCATCTCTCCGGGTGGGGAGATGTTTGGAGGGAGAGGGGGCTTGACTGGGCCTCCCCTTCCCCAGGAGGTGACCAGCCGGCCTCTGCCTCCCTGGAGAGTGGGCACAGTCTCCCAGGAGCCCAGAAAGCTGAAGAGGAGGGGTCTGAGGCAACACCAGGTGGGGGTGTGCATGCAGTGGGGGAGGTGGCGTGGCCTGCCTTCCCCTCTGGGTGGCCAGGGAAGGGCTTGTGGTGGAGCTGTGTGGCAGCAGTGGGGCCTGGGTGTGAGGTTAGAATGCCACCTCTAGGGTGAGTCTGAACATGGCTGGGGTTGAGGAGGGGCTTCAGGGCCACAGGGATGGTCCAGCAGGGGAGACAGCAGCAGGGGATTAGGATTCATAAGAATTTAGGAGTTAGAGGTCAACCCCAGACTTAAGGAAAGCAGTGGAGAAGTAATGAGGTGGATTTACTCTCTAGGGGAGGACCTAAAGGGCAGGATTCAGAATTTAAACTTGGCCCTAAATGTTGAAATAAGAGTTGGGGGTGGGAGGTGTAGCTCAGTGGTTCTGGGCTTATTTTACTTGCAGGAAGTAAAAACGACAGTGGGACAGAGTATGGGATTTATCTGTGAGTGGGATTATAGGGTTTGAGGGTGCAACCCTGTGGTGGAAATTAGAATAGGGCCCAATTCGATTTTGGCCCCTGCAGAGTGGGAGCAAGAGGCTGAACCCCTTTTCTCCATCATTTAGTGGGAGCCATTTTGAACCAGTGATAGTGTCCCTCTCCCCAGTGGAGTTGGCTTAGGATTTGGGCCAGAGCCAAGGAGGGACCGGTTAGAAAGCTGGATGGTGGGGATGTAAGGGAATGGAGGGCTGGTCCCCTGGGGCTTGCTTGATGGAGGTTGCTTAGGGATGGGGATGGGGCTGAGCTGAGCTATCTTTGGTCACGTGTTGTCCGGATCACCCTGATCTCATGCCAGCATTTCCCTCTTGTAGACAGGGTATATGCTGCCTCGTGGGTCCACTGAAGATTAAGACTTCCTTGGCCCCTAAACCGCTTAGTGCTCGGCCGGCTGCAGCCAGGCGGGATTGGGATGAGGGGCAGGGCCAGATGGGGGAGGGTGGCCCCGGAACTAGGGGAAGGAAGGGAGTCTCTTTCCCTCTGTTGACAGCCCCTTCTCTCCCCAGAGGTGGGCCCCGAGGGCCAGGAGACGGCGGAGATCACGGACTTCCAGAGGGTGCGTTTCTGCAAGGTGGTAGCGGCCGCTCCACCCCCAGGGGCCGCCCGCTGACCGCATCCGCTGTACCTGGCACTAACCTCCCACCGCCTCGCTCCTCTGCTTCTGCCACACTCCCGCCAGGAGAGGGTTAAATGTAAGGGGGGAGGAGCCAGGGTCACTGTAGAGGGCGGGGCCAGGACAGTAGTGTAAATTTGGTGAGGATTCTGTCCAGGCCCTACCCACGGGGAACCTCGTGGGAAGGCCGAGACGCCTCCGAGTTAGCGCCCCCAGGAGGCCGTGCGGGCTAGGTGCCAGCCTCCTGGCCGAATTTCCCGTCTCCAGGAGCCTACATCTGGGGCTTGGCAAGTCGCCGGTGACTCCTCCGCAGGACTTCAATCTCTAGGGCACCGGCCCGTCTCTATTAAACGCAGTGCTTCCGCTGACCTTTGAACTGCATTTGTGGCCGGGACAGGCTGGGTTGCGCTGCTTGGCGGGCTTTTCTCTGGCGGAAGAGGCGGGATAAAGGGGTCTTCCTTCTCCCCCCCCCTGATTCGTCTTCCCTCCCCTCCCGCAGGCCTCCCTGAATTCCTGAAGACGCTGCTGGGAGGGGACTGAAGCTTCCCCGCCTGGATGGGGGGGGGGGGGCGGCAGGAGGGGTTCTATCTGGATCTCCGGGCTGGGTTCTCTCCTCGGAGCCCCTGGGACCCCACGGCTGTAGGGCGAGAAGGGAACTGAGGGTGGGTGGCGGAGTTGCTGGGAGAGGGAGCGATCGGGTGAGGGCGAGGTCGGAACCTCGGGGGTGAGGTTAGCCTCAGAACACCTGAAAGGGCAGTAGGTGGCCGCTGTCTAGGGGCAGGTGGGGGTGCCAGGCAGGGCCCCGCGTCTGGAGGAGTTCGGGTGTGTGCGGGGTGAGCATGTGGGGGCGGAGCGCGGGGGGCGTGGTCGGGGTGGGGGCGGAGCGCGGGGGCGTGGTCGGGGTGGAGTCGGGCGGAGAGCCAGGGTTGGAGGGCCCCGGCCGGCTCGCAGGCGGGGGACCCCGAGTCGTAGCCGGGACAGTCTGAAGGAGGGCAGAGGCGAGGGTGGGCCCGGACGAGAGCACGAGGCGAGGCTTGAGCTTGACAGGCGGGTGGAAGGCGCGCGGGAGTCCGGAGCCTGCGGGGACAGGTGACCGGGTTAGGACTCAGGAGCAGCGGAGGACTTGGGACGGGCTAGCGTGAGGGGCGGAGGCGGTGGAGGCCCGCCGCGCGGGGGCGGGCGGTCGCTGACGCGGGGCGGTGCGCGGGGGCGGGGCCTGGCGGGCTGTGGCGTGGGGCGGGCGGGCCGCGGCGATGCGGGGCACGAGCTGCGTGGGCGGCGGCGGCGAGAGCCCCGGCGGCGCGGGGCTGAGTGAGGGCCCGCGAGGCCGCTGGCTGCGCCTGGCCCCCGTCTGTGCCTACTTTCTCTGCGTCTCGCTGGCCGCGGTGCTGCTCGCCGTGTACTACGGGCTCATCTGGGTCCCCACGCGGCCCCCCGCGGCCCCCGCCGCCCCGCCGCCCAGCGCGCCGTCCCCGCCGTGTGCTGCCCGCTCGGGCGCGCCGCCTGTCCCGGTGCCTGCCGCCGCCTCAGTGTCCTGCCTCCCGGGCGCCCCGGGCGGGCCGCGACCCCAGCACGAACTGCCGCGGAGCCGCCGCCGCCGCCACAGCGACCACCGCCGCCGCCTGACGCCGGGAGAGACGCCCGAGGCCATGGGGGGGCGAGGGCCAGGGTAGCCGCCCCTTCCACCCCGACCCGATCGTCGTCAGCCCTCGAGAGCCCCGTGCAGCTCGCCCAGGATGGATGCCGTCCCCCGAGGGTCCCGGGCTCTCGGTGACCTCGCCTAGCGCCTTCGGAGCCGTCATCCTGAAGAATGGGGGGCAGCGGGTGCGAGCTCCGGCCTCGCCCTGTGCAGCTCTCCTGCCGCCAGGCCGGTTCTCCTCCAGCCGGCAGGCCCCCTCCGACCTCCCCTCCTGGCCTCCCCCGTGGGATTCTGAGCACAGAGCCCACAGCCCACCCCGCTTCTCCCCGGATCCTCGTGCCCTGCTCCAATAAACTCTAGCCCTAGCTGCCTCGTGCTGTGTCTGTGGTGTTAGCGGAGATGCCTCCTCTTCCAAATCTGAGAAGTCTTTCTGGGGTTTGGCATTTGTCTCTTGCCATGGGTGGGTTTTGTGGGCTTTCTCCCTTCTCCAGGGGACGCTCTTTCTTTTTTCATTGCCTTTGTGTAAATTTTAGGTTAGGGTGGGGAGAAGACGCTTATCACTACCAGGGCCACTGAAGGTCAGACAGCATGAAGGACTTTCCAGTTTTTAATGTGCTTGGGACAGAGAAAAGTGCCTTTCTGAAAAAAGAAATTAAAAATAAGTAAACAAAGAGGGTCTTCCCCAACAGTGTGGGAGACAAACTGGATTCTGAGAATTGCTGTATTTTAATCACATGTTAGGAACAGAGACTAAATCACCGTGACGCAGAAAGCTAGGAAGAAAGGGTGCTTGCCTTCTTCCAGGTGTGGAGGGTGGACAGGGGTGGCTGTGGGGACTTTCTGCTTCTCTGTAAACCTGCCACTGACCGTGAGTACAGCCTCTGGTCGGGATTGCTGCTGCTGAGCTACGGCTGAGAAACTCAGGACAAGCTTCTGGGGAAGGAGTCAGGGGTAGTTGAGACCTGGCCCTGGGCAGGGCCTGGGATCCTGCATGCAGGAAGTGGTTTTCCTGTCCGGGCTCCCCCCTCAAACTGGAGACTCTCCCAGAAGAGTGAGGCTGAGCCTCTTCTCCCAGATGGATGGTTTGGTCCCAGGACGAGGAGGAGAGGAGTGTCAGTTACTCAGCGGGCCCCAGCATTCCCCAGAGGGCGACTTGGTCAGAAGAGGAATGCAGGAAGCCACCCATCTACACTAGCCAGGCTAGTCGGTGTCCAGGGGCACAGACTTGGGGCTGAGTTGCCCAGATTCAAATCCCAGTTCCTCTTGTTGCCTATGTGACTTCAGGCAGGTTACTCAACCTCTCTGGTCCTGTAAAATGAAGAGGACAGCACTTACAGAGCTCCTATGAGGACTCCATAAGCTAGTGACCTAAAGCCCTCAGAGCAAAGCCACATGTTCTCTCTCTCCACCACCTCTGTCCCTAGGGGCTTTAAAAACCACAGCTAGGGTCCCATGGGATATCAAGTTAGTCCAAGGCCCTGGACCCAGCAAGTAGTGAGTTCAGGGGAGGCTCTGCTCCCGGCTGGTCCCCTCTTTCTAGTTTCTAACTTTCTTGGCTCCAGTTGTCAACAGTCTCCTGCTCTGTCTGCATCTTTGCTGTCTCCCTGCCCCCGTGCTGTCTGTCTGCACCGTCTGTCTCTCTGGTGTCTCTCCATGTTGTCTCTGTCGCCACTGTTCCCCCTCCTTCCCGCCCTCTGCTCATTTCTCCCTTGGTCTCAGCCTCCACACGTCTGGCTCCTTCCCTTTCTTTGCTTCTCTTCCCTTCTCCCTCTTCTCAACTTCTCTTTCAGTCCCTCCCTTAATCTTTCATTTTACAAAACAACAACAGTTTTTTTTAGCAGGTACCGTGTGCAAGGACTTACAAACACTGGAGCACAGCACGGAACAGAGCAGCCAAAACCTGCTGCCCTCAGAAGCCCATAATGCATATCATGAGCAACTCACATGTGTTACGTCAGGTAGCCACAGCACAGAGGAAAAAATGAAACAGCAAAGGTGGCAGGGGAGATAGGGGAGCTGGTTACTGGACCTGGGCAGGCAGATCTCTGGGGAAAGATTGCTCCAGGCCAAGGCAAGTGCAAAGGCCCTGCGGCTGGAGGGTCTTGGCTGGTTACTGACCAGCAACAGGCAAGTGTGGCCAGAGCAAGAGGGAGTGAGGGGAGAAAGGAAGGAGGTGATGGAGGGCAGAATGCTCATGGCCTTGTGGGCCACGGTAAGGACTTTGGTTTTTACTTGGAATGAGGCAGGAGCTGTGGGAAGCTTCTGAGCTGAGGAGGGATGGTGCTGACTTGGATATTGGCCACCGCCTCTGCTGCCATGCATTGGGGACCGTCAGCACCACAGCCGAAGCTGGGAGCCCAGTGAGGGGGTGCTGACGGGAGAGGGAGAGAAGAGGTTGGTTCAAACCTCTCTGGATGGTGGTAAAATATACATAAATTACCACTTTAAAGTCCAAGTTCAAGGGCATTGAATACATTCTCATGGTCTCGCACACTGCTGTCTTCCCACGCTGCAACCCTGGTCCCTGCCTCCCTGGCCACGCCAATCTACTGCCTGTCACTCTGAGTTGCTCCGCTGTACACATTCCACATCCTTGGAATCCTACACCGGGCCATCTCTGGTGTCCTGCTTCCTTCCCGCAGCACTGTGGCTTTGAGATCCAACCTGTGACCCTGTGTATCCACACACCACTGGTCTCCATGGCTGAGCGACATGCCACCGTACACGCAGACCAGGTATTGTGCATCCATCCATCAGCTGGACTTTTGGGACTTCTTTCTGTCCATTTTTTTTTTTTTATGGGGAATTGAACTCAGGGACACTCCACCACTGAGCCACATCTCGGCACTATTTTGTATTTTATTTAGAGACAGGGTCTCACTGAATTGCTTAGTGCCTCGCTCTTGCTGAGGCTGGCTTTGAACTCACCATCGTCCTGCCTCAGCCTCCTGAGCCACTGGGATTACAGGCGTGCATCACCGCATCCAGCTCCGTCTGTCCATTGTGAATCGCGCTGCTCTGAGCGCTCATGTAGGAGTTTTTGTTCAAACACATTTTTAACTCTCATGGATGTATTCAGGAGTGGAACTGCTGTGTCCTGTGATAAGCTGTTTAATTATCATGGAGGAACCATCAAAGTCTGTATGTATTTTGAAGATACAACCAACTTGAACTGGTTGTGGGATGTGCCAGAGAAGGTCAAGGCTGTGCCCAAGCGCCTGGGGGTGAAGTAGGGAGCCCTGTCTTGGGCTGGAGACTGGGGGACTATCGGGGTTAGGGTGTACAGTGCTGACCTCCTTCTCATCTCCCCTCCAGACCCTCAGTTCTCCTCCCCATGTCTCTCCTTTCTCTTTTCTCTCCCTCCTCCAACAACCCTAAATTATATTGATTAAAAAGTGACGTGCCCTCTGCAACCTGCCACTGACTTCCCACCTTTCGCTGTCCAGGGGAACCGCAAAGGGGTCAACTCCTGCCCTTCATAGGCTTTAGGATCTCCAAAGGATTCCAAAAACCTTCCTGTAAGTTTGCCCCCCTGACTCAGTCTCTCGGGGATCATAACAGTCAACAAGGCCTGTGCCAAGTGTTGGGACAGAGCTGGAGACAGACCCCTGAAGATGGTGGTGATCCCCTGTGCGGAGGGGGCAGTGCTGGGGACAAGGGGTGACCACGACAGCCCTGGCCCTGCCCTCATGGGTCTCACCTCCCATGGAGGAAAGACCTGATGGGGGGGGGGGGGCTCAGGGTGCTGAAGGAGTCTTGAAGGAGCTGTGATTCAGTCTGGGCGTCTGAAGCATCTCCTGCAAGAGGCTCCTTAGTCATATTCTATGACTTGTTCTGGAGCCAGACCGCCTGACCACAGCTGTTTCCAGTTATCTTCATGCACAGGGTTGGCCACATCCACAGGCTGCTTCTCCTCAAGACTGAAGGCCAGGTGCCCAGAGGGGAGGCATTACCATTCCCTGGCCGTAAGCAGGCCTGGACCCTATTGGATGAACCCGAGTCACGTGACAACCTTGGACTCAGTGTCTATCAAGGAATGGTTGGTTAAGGTTTGAGTTCCTGAACCATTCACAAGTGAAGGCGGGATAATTATGAAGTTTTAGACCAATCAGGATCCAGCTCTGTATCTGGCCTATCGGAAGCCGAACTGCAAGGGCCGGGGCTGCCAGGAGGGGGCGCGCAAGGGTCCTGGCTTTCCTGGAT